TGTATACATTTAGTTCATTTAATTTCTTAAGTACATTATTAACAACTTTTAAAGGGTACCCATTCCAAGACATAAACTAAACTGATGTTACCATGATGTTACTAAGCTCTGTTTGAAGTTTATCAGGAGTACACAATCTGTGGGTTCTAGAAACTAAACTACGAATCAAGGAGATCTACTGATGATAGCTTGATTAAGATTTGGGTTAGATTGCCTTATCTAGGAAACCAGGTGAGTTCATTTTACGTAGATGTTTAAATAAGGTAAAGAAACACTTAATTAAAGAGGTAAAATTTTATTTTAGGAATACTGTAATGTTGTGGTCGCAGCCAATTATAAAATTTAACATTATTACGAAAAAATCTGATTATCTAAATTCCTCCAATCTGATCGCTTCGACCGGATACTAATTTTGTGGTCGCAGCCAATTATAAAATTTAACAATTTACAAAAAAATCTGATTATCTAAATTCCTCCAATCTGATAGCTTCGACCGGATACTAAAGACACTTAAACTGTAAAATATCAATTTGAAACCGATTATTAGGTAATGCGTACTAGGAAGTCAGAAGTTCATTATATAATTTATTATATTACTGGTAACTATTGGAAAAACGATATTATTTAATCTTGTAGTTCCACCATTAATTACTTCTATCAGTGAAAACGTAAATGTTGAAATTGAAGAAATGGTTTATTTGTATTGTGTTGCGGACGGAGTACCAACTCCCACAGTTCAGTGGGTGGAAATATCTGAAAATGGGGAATTCATTTATATCAACGAGCCAGCTGATAGGCAAACAGTCGTCATACTAACAGATGAATCAGCAACCAAAAGGTATTGGCAATAAACAAATACAGGGACCAAAGTTAAACTAGTTTGACACAATAGGCTTAATTGCTTTGCTAACATTTGCTAACACACAAAAGCATTGGGTGAAGAAGCAGAGTGGTGTTATGGTCTATCTCATAAATGGCTAACATTTGTAGAATGTATAAAGAATACAAAAAAATGGCTAAGAATGAAATCGTGTAAGCAAAGTTTAAAATTATGAAATGCATACCAGCACAATATCACAAGGTAGTATTACAAAATTAGAGCAGATAATGATACAAGGATACTTTATCCATCCCACCACAGGGAAATTTCATGGCTGAATACAACAATGGAAAAAAGCTTGAACATTTAACTGACAGTGATGATGATAACAATATTAATAATAAAACTATGATTAATAATAAAAGCAATAATAATAAAAGCAGCAAAGACGACGACGACGACGGCGACGGCGACTGCGACGACGAGGACAACGACAATAACAATAACAATAACAATAAAAATAATAATAGTAGTACACTGAAAACCCTACCTCTGATGTTTACAATTGAAGTCCCTAAATCTCAGGGGAGAAATGAGCCGATGGCGTTCTGTAGAGCCCTGTGGCGGCGTACCACTACGTTCAATGTAAATTATGAGGTGACTTACGTCACCCCATATCGAACAGAACTTCTTGTACAACCGTTTGTGGTAGTCTTAGCCCACCACGGGTAACTCACACCCAACTATTCTCCCTGTTCTCTTCATCAGCCTATCTATCCTATCCCTATCTAGTTTATTTACATTCCCATCCCAAGCCAAACAGCAATACCCCAGACAGAACCAATAACTGATAAATAAAACATATGCAGAAATTGACTATTAATATTGAATGAGTACAGTTTACGTAAGCAATGCATGCGTGAATTGAGTTTCTTCGTGATATGATCAGTATTTTCCCCCATGACAGACATTATTATCAAAAACAATCCGCAGATACCTCTTGTAGCTAGAAACCAATTCCACCCTTGAATTCTCAATTACTATTTCCCTATTCTCAACTCTATTTTTTTAACACGAAAGTCTATCAACATCTTTTCGAAACATTCAATTATAAAGAAATTTACATTAAATCATAGCATCTTCCGTGTTTGTAGAGCTTCTATAGGCAAATTGTAATGATCAAGTTACTGGGACAAGGCACTAATTTAAAAAAAAAAAGCCTAAAGCCAATTAATACTGTGGCCTAGAATACAGTTAACATCCATTACATTAAAGATTCACAAAATGCTTACCCACCTTGATGTGCTTCTTCAACGTCTATCAAGTCTTGGATTTCAGTTTTAATGTCACGAAAATTTAATCCTTTTCGATATTCCAGATTTGCTTGTCTCGCCGTAAATGTAGTGAATCAATTAGTAAGCAAAGATGTAGTGATTTCACAAAAAGGTAAGATGATAATGTCAATAATCCTTGTCGTTACCATTTTTGTTGTCGCAGTCATGTTTATTGATATAATCATCATCTTTTTTGCCGTCATCATTATTATCACCATCATCATCATCAACATTATCATCATCAGGCCTATCATAATCATTGCTTAGCCTAATCTTTTTCAATATCATTATAATTATCATGGTCAATAACATGTGTAAATGTAGTGAATAAATTAGTAAACGAAGATGTAACGATTTCACAAAAAGGTAAGATGATAATGGCAATAATCCTTGTCGTTATCATTTGTGTTGTCATCGCAGTCATGTTTATTGATATTATCATCATCGTTTTTGCCATCATCATTATCACCATCATCATCAAGATTATCATCATCAGGCTTACTAAATTATTGTTTAGCCTAATCATTATAATTATCATGATCAATAACATCTTTTTTAATGATCATAGTTTGTACAGCTACATGGACAATAAAAAAAAATAAACAATTGGGTAATGGCAGAAAGTTAAGATTTACCGCCCAGGCGACTGCACAAATCTGGAAGATTAACATAATTTTAGGAGTCTTACCATTAAGGGCGTGAGTGTATTTCACGCACGATGGTCGTCAACGACGGGGCTGTTCGTCTTGGCGTTTTAATTAATATTAGAAATCCATGTATATGCCCATATCTTATAATGGGGACGAAAAGTTGAAAATAAATGTAAGTAAAACAACACCACCGGCCCTAAAAACGTTAGTTCTACTGTCAAGTCTGTGTATTCTTCCATGGAGATATTATAGTGAACTGGAGAAACAACACAAATTCAATCCTTTAACGATCATTTTGACCGTGCTGATAAGCATATGTGGTCACGCGATGTGTAGTGGTTATCGGGTATCAATTCTGTATAAATTACATGCAGTGTGAGCGACGCTCGGTAATAGGAAAACGAGTGCCTTCCTCGTAAAAGCACATAATGTATTTGATGTTGATTAATGTTGATTGGAATGCCAGTAACTATACCAAATTGACTGGAAATTTTAGATTAAGAGTTTTTTGTTAGCAAATGCTCTAAAAGATAGCCCCTAAACATTGAGAATTTTCGAGAAAAAAAATAAGCCAAGGCCCATGCATGTCCGCGCCTGTTTAGGTATGCACGAGGGTCTTTGATCAGCAAAATTCTCTATCGTGTGTATCAAGGATTTTTTCTGGGTGGGTCCTGATGATAATGTTTTGGACCTCTTCACAATGACATAACAGCAAGATGTGATTAAAATGTCAATACAATTATTAAAAAAATAGTAATTGCTGAAGAACTGACATAGACTGAGGACGTTCATTCCTTGGTGAAAAACATTATAGGCACTGATACCTATGAGCAGTTTAAAGTTTCATAATAAAGTCTCAGAATTGCTGGAATTGAGATAGTACTTCACGCAATAGGCAAGGTGTTTGGACTAATTGCTGGTACCTCATCAATGCTTTTTCATTGATGTCATTGTGAAAAGGGCCTTTAAAAATGTCCTCGAAAAAAATGTGGCCTTTTTTGGGGGTTCGTACGATCTTACCGATTCCCCCTAGCATACACTAATGTCTATAGTAATACTAATTTTTTTTTTATTCGCTGATGTACATTAAATATCTTTTATTTTCAACTCGAAGATTCACAATGAAAAACTACTATGAGACATTATTTTTTGTACTCAGTATATTAGATGCTGTTAATTCCTTTTACTAATTTGTATATTTTAAAACAGAATTTTATAATGAACAATCAAAATAATATTTATACAATGTTTAATTTCAACCGTCGTTATTAAATTGAGTGACGTCTTTGACAGCGAATCGGAAAAATTGATGGTATTTTGAAGGGAAATAACAAAAATAGGCACAATTAGACACATTTCACATTGACATATTAATGTAAAACAATATCTATTCTGTCGAACAAGATAGGTCTCATTTGTGAGAACAAACAGGTAACGCAATAAATATCGTTTAATCAGGCCCGTAGGCAGGATTTACGATGGGGAGGTGCGTTTTGCAACCGAAGTGGACCTTACGACTGCCTAGGGATCCCCGGTTGGGGTGGGTCTTCTGAAAGCTCTGACAAATTAGTATTTTGAGGGCCTTAAATAGATTTCTAAAATTCATAATTTGTAATATCCTATTTAAATTTTCATATTTGAGTATAATTGTCTAGGGACCTACAGTAAAGCAGGAGAAATAGAGGGTGGGGATGAAGGGAGGAACTTGCACATACAGGTGCATACCACCTCAGCCCCACCATGATTGGGGCTGAGGTAAAACAATTTTTAATTATGGCACCTCAAAATGGCCGGAAATGGCACTCTCAGACAAACTTTAATTATGATTTTTCTTTTTTCTCCATTTTTTTTATAATTTTAGGGGGCTTTCTTCCCTTGATTCCTCCACTATGAAATTGAAATTTTCATGTTCTTTAAATCTGTAGGCCTACAGATGACATGGATCAATCTGCAATCACTGGGGCTGATAGTTTCAAATTAAAAAGTTGATAGTTTCAAAATAAAAAGAGCAAAAAATGTAATGCATACTTTAGCATTTCGCGATAATTTGAACGATTTTACTGAAATAATATGTTTTAAAAAGTGGGCGTTTTGAAATTTGGTGGTCCAGGGGCAGAGGCCCGGAGGGGGATTGTGAGAAAAGCGACAAAGTAGCATTTTGAGGGTCTTACATAATAGATTTCTCAAACACATAATTCATGAATTTGGGAGTTTTTGGGACCTGAACAAGTAACGTTATTATGTCCTGTACATCTGCAGGCCTATAGATAACATTCTTCATATTATATAGATTAATCTGCAATCACCGAAGACGATCATTTTCTAACAAGTTTCATACCACATTATTAAAAATTAACGGTTAGATAAGCTGGCAAATATATAATGCAATGCATGCTATAGCATTTTATGATAATTAGGAAAGATGTTGAGAAATCATAGGTTTTAAAAAGTGGACCTTTTGAAATTTGAGGGGGGGGGGTGCGTCCGCACCCTCTGCATCCCCCTCCCCTCCTACGGGCCTAGGTTTTTAACGAAGGATATTCTCTAAAAAACATACCTTTACTTTGATTGTACATAGAAATTGACTGAATAATCGGATTTAAATACTGTCCGCAATAACTTTTTGAACAGTAAATTGCACTTGATACCAATGTTTTCGTTATTAAGAAATGATTAAACTGAGATACTGCACATGCTGTAAAATGATCTACAGTCTTTTCCCCTATAGCCAGGTCCTGTTGACGCCCACAAAAAAAAAATAGTTCAGCGAATGCTCGGCGGTCGGAATGATCGAACATCAATAAACCGTGATATCGCGTCTGATCTCTTTGTAAATTACCTTTTCAGAAGGTTAGCAACAGTTTCTCCAGTTTACTATTACATCTCTATGATTCTTCTTGGTAGAAATTGTAAGGCCGACGAAATTCCTAGCCAGTCAAACAAGGACGTGGTACTAGTAGGTTCCTGCTGAAGTTACATGTTTCCCGGATCGAATCTTGATACAAAAGAAGACATAAATAGAAGGAAACCGCTAACCATAGATAGTAGTATTTAATCAATTGAAAAAAAATGTAAAGCAAAAAAAATAAAAAAATAAATAAATAAAAAATAAATCTTAACACGCATATGAGGTTGTTTAATGCATATATAACCAGCATGTTTCTCTATAATAGTGAACTGTGGTCGCTAAATAAATTGTTCGAAAATAAAATAGACTGTTTCCAAAGAGGTTTACTAAGAGAAGTTTTAAATATCCATTGGTCATTTAAAATAACAAACATTATGTTTTATATTAAATTATTGTTACATCTTGCTGACCGAACTATCAGCAATATTTACAATCTGAAGTAAATTGGTTGTGTAGTTCCACGCTTCCAAAACCATGGGTGGCGACCCAAAAAAATGGGTCGCCAATTTTTTGCGTTGGGTCGCAAGCAGGTTTTCAAACAACATTCATTTATCTGCTCATTTTGACAGTTGATGTGAAGTTTAACAGTATTTTTAGGTAAATGCTCGTTAGAACAATACTTATTATATACAATGAATATTCTGAAATATAACTGTTGTGTAAATCTAAGCTTTCAACTGTTTAAAACAATTTATAGAAATAAACTTTAAACAGAAAATTACTATCAGGTAATATAACAATAACATTATCTAAATTAATTTCAAAGGTTTATACAAATGAAAATAATATGCCTAAAATACCAAAAATCTCCTGTTATGCATTTTGGTTGATAAGATGATAAAGTAGTCAGTGGCGTATGCAGGAGGAGTGCTCGGAGTGACTGAGCACCCCATTGAGAGGTTGAAAAAAGTGCCCCCTTTTAAATGCTAGAAAATAACCGACATAAATTTTAAGTATTAAAGTGCCGTTTTCTGGTATCTATAAGTCCCCAATTCCATAACTTTTCTCACATCAGCTTTAACCATGATGGGACTCAGGTGTATATAATAATTTTCGTAGATTTTTTGTATTAAAGTACCAATTTCCGACATCTAGAATTCTTACAATTGTCTTACCTCAGCCTCACCAAATATGGGCTGAGATGCATGGTACTTTTATAAATTTTAAGAATCCAAGTGCAGTTTTCGGGCATATGCATCTATAAAATCTCAAATTCTTACAATTTACTCATCTGCTTAAAAAAACCATGGCGAGGTTCAGGTGGATATCGTAGGTTTTGTAGTATTCAACTGCTATATCTTTCAAATCCCAACCATGGCGGTGCTTAGGTCGATAAAGTAGGAATTGTAAGTATTTAAGTGCCATTTTCTGGCCCCTATTTAATTAATTCTGTTAATAATAAAAAGGATTAAAGGTTAATTTAAGTCCCATTTCCAGGCATCCAGAGGTACAAAATACTGAAGATCACCGGCAACCAAGGTGGCACTGACGTAGACCCTCATTTCATTTAACACCCCTTCTTTAAATCCTGGATACGCCACTGGTAACCACATT